TATTATGCATCTAATATCAAATCCAATATAAATTGCATAAAGGCCATGATATTTGATTTCCATAAGTTTGGACTGTAACTCAGTGACCTTTTCACTGCTCAGGGTCCATACACAATTTCAGTTACAAGTAAAACCAAAGCAGGCGATTGAAGAAAGGTAAATTAAAACAACAACATCCAAAACCTACTTAGATTGACACTGTGGGAACAGAAGGTTCAAACGGCCACTCTATTTTCATGATACTAGATAAAATACTCCTATAGGTAGAGTGCATTCTAACACTATTTCTTATTTTTACCATATTTAAGAAGTAACAAAAGCAGAAGATAATGGAGATAACTGGGATCTTCTAAAACTTACTTATGCTCATCAAAAGACTTCACCAAAGGAGTAAAAAGAGAACCTACAGACTGGGAAAAATTTTTTGACCATGACAAATCCAACAAAGGTGTAATCTCAAAAATCCAACACTTCTACAACAAAAAGACACATAATCCAATTAAAAAATGGGCAAGGGAGACGAACAGAAACTTCACCAAAGAAGATATTCAGGTGTCTAACAGACACATGAGGAAATGCTCAAAATCACTAGCCATTAGAGAAATAGAAATTAAAAGCACAATGAGATACCATCTCACCCTGACAATACTGGAACGAATCAAAAGAACAGAAAATAACAAATGTTGGAGAGGCTGCAGGGAGATTGGAACTCTTATGCTCTGCTGGTGGTAATGCAAAATGGTACAACCATTTTGGGAAATGATATGGCACTTCCTTAAAAAGCTAGAAATAGAAATACCATATGATCCAGCAATCCCACACCTAGGAATATATCCTAGAGAAACAAGAGCCATCACACAAATAGACATATGCGAACCCATGTTCATTTCAGCACTATTCATAATAGCAAAAAGATGGAAACAACCTAAGTGCCCATCAATAGATGAATGGATCATGCAACAATAAACAACAATGATGAATCTTCAAAACATCTCACCACACGGATGAATTTGGAGGGCGTTATGCTAAGTGAAATAAGTCAATCGCAAAAAGACAAATACTGTGTGAGACTACTCCTATAAAAACTCATGTAAAGGTTTACACACAAAGAGAAACAATCTTTGATGGTTATGAGGGGGGGGAGTGATGGGGAGGGAAAAACACTAGGTAGACAATAGATAAGTGGTAACTATGGGGAAGGGTAAGACAGTACACAATACTGTAGAAGCCAGCACAACTTGACCAAGGTAAGGTCATGGAAGCTCCTTAGACACATCCAAACTCCCTGAGGGATCGAATTACTGGGCTAAGGGCTGGGGACCATGATCTCAGGGAACATCTAGCTTAATTGGCATAACATAGTTTATAAAGAAAATGTTCTACATCCTACTTTGGTTAGTAGCATCTGGGGTCCTAAAACCTTGCAAGCAGCCATCTAAGATACTCCACTGGTGTCACTCTGTCTGGAGCAAGAGAGAATGAAGAAAACCAAAGATCCAAGAGAAAGATTAGTCCAAAGGACCAATGGACTACAAGTCCAGACTGAGTCCAGAACAACCAGATGTGCCCGGTTACCAGCACCGACTGCTCTCACTGGGATCACAATAGAGAGTCCCAGACAGAGCTGGAGAAAAATGTAGAACCAAATTCTAACTCACAAAAAAAAAAAAAAGACCAGACTTACCAGTCTGACTGAGACTGGAGAAACCCTAAGAGTATGGCCCCCAGACTCCCTTTTAACTCAGTACTTAAGATATTCCTGAGGTTCACCCTTCAGTAAAAGTTTAGACAGGCCCATAAAACAAAACAAGACTAAATGGGCACACTAGCCCAGGGGCAAGGACAAGAAGGTAGGAGAGGACAGGAAAGCTGGTAATGCGGAACCCAAGGTTGAGAGGGGAGAGTGTTGACATGACGTGGGGGTGGCAACCAGTGTCACAAAACAATATGTGTATTAATTGTTTAATAAGAAACTAATTTGCTCTGTAAACTCTCATCTAAAATATAGTTTAAAAAAAAGAACTAACAAGGCTTTAGTAAAAGTATGCTAAAGTGTAGCTCTACCAACAAGTGCTAAGCACTTTACATGGACTTTTATCACTTAACTCTCACAAGAACCCTCAGACAATAAGATGCTAATTTTACAGACAGTGATCCCAAACTTGTTGTTAAGTTCTGTTAGTGGATTTCGATTCATAGTGACCTCATGTGACAGAGTAGAACTGCCCTGTAGGGTTTTCTAGGCAGTAATTTTTATGGAAGCAGATCGCCAAGTCTTTCTTCCACTGAGCTGCTAGGTGGGTTTGAACCACCAACCTTTCCAGCACGCTTAAAGAGGTCCTATCACTGCTTTACCATCATACACTCAGTGAGTGCCAGAGCAGAGTTCTGAAGCCACAGTGCAAACTGAACCACATTCTGTACCTTGACATTGACATTCTGTACCTTGACATTGACATTCTGTACCTTGACATTGACATTCTGTATCTTGACATTGACATTCTGTACCTTGACATTGACATTCTGTACCTTGACACTGACATTCTGTACCTTGACATTGACATTCTGCACCTTGACATTGACATTCTGTACCTTGACATTGACATTCTGCACCTTGACATTGACATTCTGTACCTTGACATTGACATTCTGCATCTTGACATAGACATTCTGCACCTTGACATTGATATTCTGTACCTTGACATTGATATTCTGTATCTTGACACTAACTATGAGTGCAGTAAGGAAAAAAAAAAAAAGGCAGCATTACCATTATTTAAAGAAAGAAACTCAGAGAAAGGTTAAGGAATTTGCATAATGATGATGAAGTATCAGTAACTTTAGAAGTAAGACATAGTTCACTATTAAAAAATGCTAAGGCATCAATACGAAAAATTAATTTTAATATAGAATTAAAAATATAAAGACTAGCAACTATTTTCTCTACCAAAGCACCAGACCTGTTTCTGTAAAACTAAAATGCCACAATTATTTATCCTCAAAAAAAATCATAATAATGTATTTTAAAAGATAATAATGTTTTAAGAGAGAAGACAAAATGAAAATAAATCAAATAATGCACGGTGCTCGAGGTGATTTAGGAAGTAATATTGGAGTTATTATTCCGTCCTTGAGCATAGAGAATGTGACCCAGCTGGAGCTGGGTTCACAAGGACTCATAAGGACATATCAACTGGGCCCTGAGGTATAAAGACAATAGCTAAAATAATCTTGGAAAATATCTGTTAGGGAAACTTTCACATAAAGCCAATCAAACAGAACACAAAATACTTTCCACTCTTGCCTTTTTCTGTTAGCATTTAGTGAATAGAAATTTGTTGGACCAATGAAGACCCTCCTGACTGTCGTTACCAAACCTGTACCAATGATTGTTAACAAAGACAATTCAAAATGTAGGATCACAGTTTCTAGCCAATCCGAAAAGGCAAAGCTTTCAATGGCTTTGCCCATTTGTAATGTTAATATATACTGATGACTCTGTAACTGGTCTTTGGCAGATATGGCTGTGGCAGCATGCTTGTCCATTTTCCCACTCTTGCCTACTCTGTAATATTCTCTGGACTTGGGCAGACATGCCTTTAGAAGCATGCTTGTCCATTTTCCCACTTTTGTCTGTTCTGTGATATTTCCTTGGACTCAGGCAGACATGGCTCTGGCAGCATGGTTGTTGGTTTCCCACTTTTGTCCTTTTGAATATATGCCAAATAAAACTTTCTTTTTGCTTTACTCAACTTTGTGATGTTTTTTCACTACAACAGAGGTATATGGCCTTACTTTCAATCATGCAATGAAGGATAAGTTGAAAATTATAACCTACATTCTGGAAGCACCAAGACAGACTACCCAGTGTTAAGACTAGAAAGTCTCAAAAAATATATTTCATTCAGTCTTCATCCTGAATAATATGATGTGTATTTTTTTAATAGTATACGTCTTCTCTCGACCTCATTAACATTTTTAAGAGGTTTCCTCAGGTCGCTATGAGTCAGAATAACTTGATGGCAACAGGTTTCATTTTTCCTAAATGATGTACAGAACAAAACTACACTGGCCTGGCGGGGGTGGTCTTTAGAGACAATTAAACAGTCCAAAGTGGAAATATATATTAGAAATACATTAACTCAAATGAAGGATCTGCAATATGATGCTAGGTGACAGAAATACAGACCAGAGAATTTTCACTATAAAACATGACCTTTATACAATGGGATTATTATAAATTTATTTCTTATATCTATCCAGTCATAATGTGATATGCAAAAAGTACAGCTGTCATTATCATGGTATAAACAGATAATTGTTTCTAAAAATGATAATCTTTTCTTTAAAAACATAGTAGAAGAGCTGGAAGGAGCCCTGGTGGCCCATTGGTTAAGCACTCAGCTGCTAAAAGAAAAAGGTCAGTAGTTTGAACCCACCAGCCACTCCATGAGGAAAAGACGAGATGATCTGTTCCTGTAAAGATTTCAGCCTAGGAAACCTTACAGGGCAGTTTTACTCTGTCCTATAGGGTCTCTATGAGTTGGAATCAACTTGACAGCATGCAATAACAACAACAACAAAAGAGATGGAAGCCCACTGTGAGCAAGGGGGTATACGTATGCTTTCTGTTAGATGTGGTGGCCGCCATCTAAGTACTTAAGCAAGTAGCTGTGAATTTTCTTGGATATGGATGATATATTTAATCTCTTAGTGCTTTTCAGAGAAATACCTGAAAATAAACAGCAAGAGCTTGCTCTACCTGAACACTTCTGCTGTGCCTGTTAGACCACAAGAACTTAGACAACTTGCCTTCTGTCTCATAGGTAGGATCTTGCCCCCATGTGTATACCCACATCTGTGTCTAAATATTATGGGCAAACTTGAACAAACATATTTGGATATTTATAGTCAGGAAATATATTTTTATGTTTCAAAATTTTCAAACATTTTAGGAAACAACTAAAAATAGTTATTATTCTAAGAGACTAAAGGCTTACAGTCTGATAGGGACTGCAGAGAGTATTGCACATCTGATGAGGGTCTTGAACCATGAAGTGAGAATTTGAATTTTTCCTTTTCCTTTTCTCCATCTTTACTCCTCTTCTTCCCAAGGTCTTTTACATCTGCTTTCTCTAACATGTTAAAAAAATTATAATAAATCTTTTAACTATAAAGCCTCAAACTCTGTTACTTATTCAGTCAACACGTTGGGGGTGGGGGGAAAGGCCCAACAATAGTATTATTTAAATGTGAAACCATAGCCATTAATTTCCCAAAACGTTAATCCTCTCTAATTAGAAAGATCAAAATAAAGCAAGACGAAATTTTGGAAATTGATATGCATTACAAAAGACGTGTAGCATCTGTTATCTGCTATACATAAATTTATGTTTCACAGAGATTATTATTTGAATATCGTTTCCTTATATAAAATTATAACGTCAGACTAATTTTCTTATTTTAAAAATAAAAAACAAAACAGAGAAAAAAAATCAGCAAAGCATGTACTTTAAAGTCGAGTCCTAAATATGGAACCCTCTCAGATCTTCCTTATTTGGGGCCTCGAGGAAGCTCAGGTGTCTGTTGGATCCCAGATTCCAAACAACATCCAAAAACCAACATTTTATTGCCAGCATCGTTTCTGTACTAGAACCCTTGTATCCAAACCTATCCCCACCACTTGAATTCCCATTCACATATAGTTTTCTGTGAAGTATGTTTTCCCTCCACTTAAAAATTTCCCCCTAAAATTTTTATTTTCTAATACAGTAAAACCTGTGAAAGCTGGAAACCTGTCAGAGAAGGAAAACTCAAATATATTCCACTAAAACAAGCAATAAAAGCGGTAAAACTGCACTCTGTCAAAGGCAGAAAACTTGTGAGACCTGGAAAAACAAGGCAGTCCTGATAAGTTCCAGCTCTCACAAGTTTCACTGTAAATTCCTTCCAATTCTGATACAGAAACTGCATATTTCGGCCATTTCTTTCTCTGAATCACCTGCTAAATTTGTAATCACCATTGGTCAGGGTTTTTTTTATTTGCATAAATACATACTATGACATTAAAAATGTGTAATATTCCTGAGTCTCCAAAGAAAGCCTGTCTTATATGTTAGCTTTTACAGTAGATTTAACATCTATGTTAGATATAAAAATTAAGATAATTATTACTTCAAACAGCATAAGAGATTTAACTGGGAAACTTAAGCACAAAAAATAGGTTATTATCAGAATTTTATTTTATGGATTTTTTATAAATGTTTGACTTAACACACACACATAAAAACTAACTTTGGGTAGCAATATATGATTGCATATGTGATTTTGAAATGAGACTTTAAAATCTTTCAAACTCCTACTCAGAATTCGTAATTTAGAAATAATATATAACAAAAATATAAATAAAAAATTGTAGTGTTTCACACAGAAATCTGGATAGCACACAACAGTGTTTATCAAACTGTGTTTTTTGCCAACACTCTAAATTAATGTGTTGCTTCTCTGTCATTTCTTCCCATCGATCCGGCAAACCCCACTCTGAATAAACCTGGCAGCTGAGTCTTGCTGGAGATAATCTTCCCCTAGTTCTACAAACATTTCCCACATCTATTTTAAACCTCCATGAAAATCTTCATCTTCTACCTCCACCTCACGCTCAGCTCATAGCCATGCTGTCTATGATTGAAGCCTTTCTTCAGAAGCCCTCAACTTTTCACTACCAAACCTCTTCAACCACTTACATCTGCATCCATCCCCGCCAGTTGGAACACAGGAGTCACTGCCCCCCACCCCTTCCTGATTTAGGCCAATCCCTTCACCTGGGCTCTAGAACCTGTTCCTTCTGTCTTCTCAGGAAACTTACCTGAGTGCTGTCATCTCAGCTGGATACTCCCAATGATCACTTAAAAATACTCAGTTATTCCTCATTAGATACAAATAAAAATAATGTCCTCTCTGGATCCCACATTCCCTGCCAGCTTCCACCTTGTAGCAGTCCTGTTCTTCACAGCCAAACTTCTCATTGAGTGGTTGATACATTATTTCACTTCCCACTTGCTGCTCGGCCCTCTCCAATGTCTTCCACTCCCATCATTCACCAGTGCCCAATGACCTCCATCTCACAAAATCCAGTGGTGAAATTTAACTTCCCATCATATTCAGCTTGCAATAGTATTTGACATAGATAATCTCTCCGATTCTTGAAACACTCTTTTCCTTTGACTCAGGGCCAACTGGTTCTTCTGGTTTTTCTCCAGCTTCTCCAGCCATTCCTTAGCCTCCTTTGCAAACTCATCATTTTATACGTAGCCCTCAGATATTTAACTTCTTTAATCCTTTCGTGAACCAATTATTTTCTGCTTTGAATTTTTTGTTGATACCATGTGTTTTTCTTAATGAAAGTATGCTGAATCATTGAGTGTGTCTGAATTTCTGGGAGGTAGTATGGATTTTGTTTTCTTGCCTCCTCCCACAAGCCTATCCTAAGTGTTTAGTAGTACATATGAAGTACCATTAATTATACTGAAGAGTACCCATCAGGGTCTATTGGTACACATGTGTAACAAATAAAAATTTTCAAAATTTCTATTTTTCCTACCAAAAATTCAGACACCTCATACAATACCCTATAAAAATAGTAATTTGTGGCACATGCCAGTTTCTTCAGTTTCAAACAGTCATAAAGGCCCCTGCCTTGTGGTGGCATGCACTGTTAATGGTGCAGCAGCTTCCCAATAAGCCTTCAGAGGCAAAAAAATTTCTTGGTCCCTACTCTCCACATTCTATACTATCTTAACATGACCTAGAGGGTTTGATATGTTCTCTCCCCTGCCTACTTGTCCAAGCTCTTCTCAAGCCACTTTATCCCTCACTTCCTCTCCTCCAGCTAAATGCATCTTCCACCAGGTCCTCTAACACATCATCATCCCTCCTAACCAGCTGCCATCAAATCAGTTCTGACTCATGGTGACCCCACGTGTGTCAGAGGAGAAATGTGCTTCACCGGGTTTTAAACAGCTGATTTTGGGGGGAGTAGACCACCAGGCCTTTCTTCCGAGGCACCTCTAGTTGGACTCTGACTGTCAACCTTTCGGTTAGCAGCTGAGTGCACTGAACGTTTGCACCACCCAAGGACTCCATCATCACTCCTAATGCCTCATAATCTTTATACTTGCTATTTCCTCTGAATAAAGTGAAAGTCCCTCATCTTCCACTAGATAATTCCCTCTCACCTTTGCAAACTCACTTCAAACTTCCTCCCTGTCCCAGATTAGAATAGCTCACCCATATTAACTCCCAATATGCTTCCTCCCATATAGCTTCCTGAACTTCGAGACTCATATGTTAGTATGTAGTTATAAACTTGCATTTAAAAAAAAAAATTACTGTCAGTCCCTCTCATTAGACTATAAGCTCCAGGATGTGAGTTTCACATTTGATTTTATTTACCACGTTATCCCCAAACCCTAAAATACTGTTGGCACTCTACACAACAAGTAATATGTTTGAATGAATGAATGGGTGTATGGATGGATGTTAATTTGTGAGACATGAAAAAGGGCTTTTAGGATCAAATTAACTTGAGAAATACCGGGTAAAACAAATTTAATTAGACTTCCTTATTTGCTGTCTTTCATATGATTACATCATTCCAAGAAAAGTCTATGGCAGACAGGTATCACTCACACACTTGACTTGATATATTTTTGAGGAGCACTTAAGTAATAATTTCTGTGCAGTATACTGTGGGAAACGCTGGTAGATGAGATCTCAATAAGAAATAATTCTGATAAAATATAAATATTTTATAAAATATAGATATTTGAAAGATCATGACAGATGCTATCAAGGGGTACAAAAAGCTAAGTATTTTCTAATCTATTTAATTCTACTTCCCTATACAAGCATTAATGTTTATATGTGTAATTATTTGAAATATTTTGGGGAATATACAAAATAAATAATTACTTAATATTTCCCACTTGAAAGAAATGACCCTACACTTTGTAAAACAACTTGAAATTATTTTTTTCTTCAGATTTGAAATTCTACCTTAGAATAAGTTATTGTCAAATCATAATCTTTGTCCAGTTCACACTCCCTGGAAAGAGCAATGTATCTTTTACCCTTTGTTATTTTGGTCCATTCCACTCTACATACAGCATATAAGAAAGATATGTTTTTTTGAATTAGCAAATATTATATGTCTATGTGTATTTCACCACAATAAAAAAAAAGATGTTTCTGATGAAAATTGGAAACAATGCCTCTTACTATATAACAGTATATTAATTTAGTATTATTAAAGTAGAGAATTGCTTTCAACTTTAAAAGAAAGCAAAATATGGAACAATAATTAACATATAGTAAACAGCATCCTAGGTTCTAAAACCTAAAGGAAGGATCTCCTGGTTACATGCCTATTTTCAAAGCACTTAAGAAGTGATGATGACAATAAAGAAATGTTAAATTCAGCAATGATTATAAAGCATTTATACACAATATCCATACTGGATAACATTTTGATCTAAAATATCTTACCCTTTGGAACTTTGTCACTTTTCTCAGGCACTTTGAGCGCTGTCAGTGAATTTTCCTGTTTGGTATCTTTGGAGTCTTTCCCTTCTTTTCCATCTTTCACTTCTTTTCCTTCTTTCACCTCTTTTCCGTCTTTTGCTTCTTTTCCTGGTTCTTTTAATTTGCTATCAATCACTGTTGTTTTGCTTTCAGAGCCCGGCTCATCTGAAAGCTTAAATTCAGGCAATATTTCTTTCAAGAGCTCCCAGACTTTGTCCACGTACCCTGGGCTTAGGCAAAAGACATCAACATAAATTTCCAGATGAAGCTGTTTTACTCCACATCAAGTAATTACTGACAGAAAAATTAACTTGGCATTTCACAAAACTCATTTCAATAGTTACTTCAGTTTTTAGTTTAAAAAAAAAAAAAAACCAGCATTATAAATCTATTTATTCAAAAAGTTTTATCTACTGGGTGCTGGGCTTTACTGATACAAAGAGACCAAAAATATGGTTCTGGTCTCAAGAATCATTCAGTCACATGAACAACCGTGAAAGGGAAAGGTAGTATTTGAGCACCTAAGAGGTGCCAAGCACTTTCTCATCCATTATCATTTATGCGAAAGGTCCTTATCTCATTAGGCTTTGTGGAATTTGACATTGTTGACCACTCTATTCTTTAAACTCTTCTCTGAGGCTTCCATAATATCCTTTTATCTGGTTTTCTCTCTATTTTTATGGAAACTACTTGCAGACTCCTAACACCCCCTTTCTTTGCATGCAGTTGACAATTTAGGGTCACTTCCCCATGATTCTCCTCTTTTTGCTCTTGCCATTTTATCTATTATTTCCTCAGTGAGTAAGTACATCCATGTTTTGAGTTCACCAGTACGGGACATAACCCGGCAAATCATTACCTCTAGCTCAAACCTCTCTCCTGATATCCAGACCAGCGTATACAACCACAGACAACTGTCCAAAACAAATAATTAAATAATAAAAATGATAAAAACATCCTTCTACTTATCGCTCAGGTCAGAAACTTGAGAATGACCAAGTCTCCTCTCCTTAGAAATTATCAAATACAGCATCATGCCCCTTTGTTCCTAACTCCCATCATTGCAGTCTATTATCTTCACTTGATTCTTACTGCCATTTCCTCAGTAGAAGCCCTCAGCAAACCTTGTGGAATACTGCGCAAGCCCATTTCCCTGCTCTAGTCTTGCCATCTGCTGAGCTGCTCCCAGAGCTAACTTCCAAAATCACAAATCTGAAAAGACCATCCTCCTGTCTAAAATTCCTCATGACATTCTATCACTCTTAGGATGTTGTGAAAATCCCTTAACATGGCATCATGGCATAAAAGACCTTTGTCTATCTGGCTCCTGCTTACCTCTCTTCCTCATACCCACCCCTCTTCTGGTATCCAGTAACCCATAATCCAGTCATGAAAACCACATGTATTTCTGGGACTGCACTCTGCTCTCACACATTTCCACACTATTCTTTCTTCTCTCAGTTGGCTTCCCCACCTCAATCAGCTGCATTAATTTCAACTAATCCTTTGAGGCTTAGTTCAAGTATTACTTTCTGGGAGAATTAGGCTATATGTTCCTGATCTGAGTTCCCAAATAATAGCTTACATACTCCCAATATAGTCTTTTTTTAATACTTTTAAAATTACTCATTCAACAAACATTTATTGAGAATATTAATATGTGCCAGTCATTCAGTCATTGTTCCAGCATTGGGAGTACAATCTTGAGCAGACTAAACAGGGCCCTGCTGTAACGGACCTTACCATTCTACTGTATGGAGACAGCCAGCACAGAGAGGTATATAACGTAATAGGTAGTGATAATATCTTTGATGAAAATTAATGGATGAAGGAATATGGCATGACTTGGGGAAGGAATAATTCTGGTTGGATGGTCAAGAAGGCTTGCTTGAGGAATTGATATTTAAGCTTGGTGAGAGCTGAATGGCATGCTGTACCCAGCCAAGTGAATATCTGATAGAAGATCATTCTAGGCAGAAGAAAAGAATAGCTTACGTAAAAACCCTAAGAGTCAACGAGTTCAGTATATTTAAGAAACAGAAAGAATACCTGGGTGGCCAGTGAGTTGTTGCCAAGATGGAGATGAGGTCAGCGATGAGGTCAGAGATCATGCAAGGGTCAGACAGTGAAGACGAAGGTAAAGGATTTGAAAACTTCATTCAAGTGTAATGGTTAGCCAAGGAAAAGTTTTAAGAAGGAGATCTGTATGATCTGATTTACATTTTAGAAAATTACTCTGACTGCCATGTGGAGCATTAACTAAAGGAGGTAAGTTAGACACAGGAAGACCAGTTGAGAAGTTATTACATTAGTCCATGTGAGCACTGATGGTGAGTCAATCTAGGATGGTAATAATGGAGATGTAGAAAAATGGATAGATTCAGAATAAGTGGAGAAGGTAATGTTAATGGAACTCAGTGAGGGATTGCTTGTGAGAAGTAAGGAAATATGAGTAATCAAGGGTGACCCCTAGTTTTTAGCTTGAGTAACTAGGTGGATGGGAGTGCAATATAATGAGACGAGGCATTCAAAGAAAGGTGCAGGTTTGGGAAATTGAGAATCAAGAGTTCATTTCTGGATATTTTAATCTAAGATACATTTTTCACATCCATATAGCTGTGTCAATTAGGCAGTTGTGTATATAGTCTGGAGTTCGGGAAAAGGTGGTGAGGCATGGAGATATAAATTTGAATGTCACTGGCAAATAGATTGTTATGTAGAGTCATCGCCACACCATTTAGTGGTTATGTGGTGGCTGAGAACTATCCAAGAAGACTAGGAAAGAGCAGCAAATAGGATAGGAGAACTAGGAGTCAGTTGTGGAAGCCAAGTGAATTAAGTGTTGCAAAAAGAAAGAGTTGTTCGAGAGGGTCAAATACTGGGAATCCAAGTAAAACGGGGCTAGAGAAGTTACCATAGGATTTAGCAGTGTTATAATCTTTGCTGACCTTAAGAGAAGCTGTTTCACTGGTGTTCTAGAGAAGGAAGCACAAAAACTGGGATGAGGAAATATTGGGTGGTCTGCTCTTATAAAGATTTCAGCCTAGGAAATACCATGGTACAGCTCTACTCTATCCTATAGGGTCGCTGAGTCTGAATTGACTTGATGGTACACAACAACAAAGAGATAAAGACAGTGTGTATAGACCACTCAATCATTAAGATTTTCTCTGAGGAGAAAAAACAAGATGAATTGGTGACTAGAAAATAATCATTGGTTTCCTTGTGAATCTGTGATTTGCTTGAGTGACTAAACTGCCTCCTATTTATCATTGAGGAAGCTCTGGTGGCGTACTGGTTAAGAGCTATGGCTGTTAACCAAAAGGTTTGCAGTTCAAATCCACCAGGTGCTCTTTGGAAATCCTATCGGGCAGTTCTGCTTTGTCCTATAGGGTCATTATGAGTTGGAATCTACCCCACAGCAACAGGTTTGGCTTAGTTTTATTTATCATTGGACCTCCAGTACCCAGTAAATAATAAGCATTCAGTAGACTTTTTTTTCATTTAATCTCACAATAGCTCTGCAACTTAGGTATTAAAATCTCAACTTTACTTGAGTTTTAAAGAAGTGTTAAATTTTATAAAGTCACACAACTGGCAAATGACAGGATTCACACATCTTTCTCATTCCAAAGCCAACGTGGTTTTCTGTTGTTGTTTCTTAAATATACAACATATAAAAAAATGCTATGGTATTTTAAAGAAATATTTATAGACCGCAAAATGAGAATAACTTCTTGGACAATTAGGCTTAAAGATGTGGTAGCAGAGGGCTATGTCCACAGATGGACCACATCAACATCAGAAAAGTGTGCCAAGAAGAGTCATCCCTTTATGAGCAATTTTCAGAATTCTAATATCCATGTTATCAGGAGGGAACAGTCCTTGGAGAAGGACATCATGCTTAGTAAAGCAGAAGGTCAGCAAAAAAGAGGAAGCTCCTCAATGAGATGGACTGACACAGCGACTGCAACAATGGGCTCAAACATAGCAACAATTGTCAGGATGATACAGGACACGGCAGTGTTTCATTCTGTTGTACATAGGGTTGCTATGAGTTGGAACTGACTCAATGGCACCTAACAACAACAATATCCATTCAGACATGATATTGATTGTGTTTCTATTTTTATAGAGAATTAGAGGACTTTTTTTTTTTTGTCTGTTTCAAATAGTAAAACTGTGCTCATTTCAGGAAAACAGAAGAGGTGAGGCCAGTAATTATAAATAGTACTCACATGGAAGAGTGGAAGGGGAGAGATTGTTTGTTGGAAATGCCAAAAAATACATTAACTGATTTTCACATGGAAAAAAAAATCTGTAGTCAACGTAAGTTTGAAGCTTGGGCATCGTCTTTCTCCTTGAACTCCGTAAAACCATGAGCCCCTGATGAACTGTTTCTGCTCGCACCATTCCTTCCTAGCAACAGAAACATTTCACTCCTGAACGTACCATGTGCCTTTGCTCAAATGGTACTCCTGCCTTAAATACCCCTCCCCTTCCTTTCCATTAAACCAACACAGCCAACATTAAGGCCCAGATCAAGTCAGAATTTTCTCCATGAATCTTTTCTTGACCCTTGCCTGCACCCTTGGCAGCTGGTAATTGCTTCCAGATATTAAGGTCTCTTCCCATTTATATACTGTTTCATAATATCCTTTTAATTTAAACTTACAATACACACTCATTAACTTTACAATGTTACAACTGCAATTTAAAATTATAGGAATAATGTGGCAGAATGTAAGAAAAATCCTACAAACCCTGATATAGCATATCAAAAATAGTGAATATCTTTTACTTTCTAGTTAATATTTCAAAGAAAACTGGTAAAATTGATTGTCTGAGTCAGCCTTATTTATTCTTCTTTATACCTATCCCTGTTTAGAAAGATTATTAAATACCAAGCATATTTCCAGATAATATTAAATAATCTAGTTAAAGTCATTAGGGAAGGGAGAGAAAACTTTCATTAATTATGTCTACCATACACTAGCTACTTTTCCTGACACTCATTGACTAATCTAATCTTCAGAACAACTGTATAGGATAGGTCTTTATCTTCATTTTACAAATGATGAACTAGGATCCAGAGAAGTTACACTACTTGCAAAATTCATACAGCGTCAAAGTAGAAGTGTCAGAATTTAGTTTAGCAACATCATTATAAACGGAGAAAATAATGAAGTTGTCAAGGATTTCATTTTACTTGGATCCACAATCAACACCCATGGAAGCAGCAGTCAAGAAATCAAAGGATGTATTGAATTGTGCATATCTGCTGCAAAAGTCCTCTTTAAAGTGTTAAAAAGCAAAGATGTCACTTTGAGGACTGAGGTGCATCTGTCCCAAGCCAAGCTATTTTCAATTGCCTCATATGCATGTGGAAGCTGGACAATGAATAAAGAAGACTGAAGAAGAATGGATGCCTTTGAATTATGGTGCTGGCAAAGAATACTGAATGTACCATGGACTGCCAGAAGAACAAACAAATCTATCTTGGAAGAACTACAGCCAGAGTGCTCCTTAGAAGCAAGAATGGTAAGACTTTGTCTCACGTGCTTTGGACACATTATCAGGAGGGACCAGTTCCTGGAGAAGAACATCATGCTTAATAGAAGATCAGGGGAAAACAGGAAGACCCACAGTGAGATGGACTGACACAGTGGCTGCAACAATGGGCTCGAACATAGCAACGATTGTGAGGATGCTGCAGGACCGGGCAGTGTTCTGTTCTGTTGTACATAGGGTCACTATGAGTCAGAACTGAATTTATGGCACCTAACAACAATATAGTTCTCACTCCAATGCTCAAGCTTTTCCCCTTATTCTCATAAATCTTTCATAAATAACTATAAGTCATGCAAACTGAACATCTAAAATCCTTTAAGTTTCTTTTATTATTATTAAAGTGGTCCCCTTATTATCATGAAAGCATAAGTGTACGATCCTAAGAAAAGACACTTCATAATTTTAATAACTGATTTTCTAGTTGTATATGATTCTGATAGCCTGTCTCTCGACTACTCTCTGAGAGACTTCTGATGATTTCATGTCTCTCTAGTATCTCCACTGTCTACTGCAAAGGGAATATTAAGGCAAGAAGCAGAGCTTAAAGGTAACATTGAAAATCAAAATTAGATAAATCCATACTTTTAAATCTTATTTGCTCTCTACTTCTCTCCATTAATGTTACCCACATTATGTCAGGAAATTTTCTCTTAGATATCAGAAGAGGGTTTTCCATCAGAAGATCTAAAAGAGTGCTATCTGGGCCTCTCCTTAAGATAAAAACACAAGATCAGCTCTCCTTCTGTAGAGTGGTCTTTTGAAGAGGTTATCTACTCTTTAATTTTTTTCCTGCAAATATTTTTACTTTAACCAAGCAACATCTAGCTTATCCTAGTGAAAAGATGTTTTAGATGATAGAATTTAAACTATTAGGGCCAATATTCTGTTTTCTGTAATCTCAACTTTAGGGGAGTGTAGCTTCCCATCAGCCACAGATCAGAGGTGATTCAAGTTGATAAGTATGCTGGGGGTTTGATCATCTTGGAAGAATAAGGATTGGAACTGATGATATGTTTGTATTTATTGTTATAGTTCTCGTCTATGTACCTTAACCTGATTAATTTCTAATTGACAATGAAGATGAATATAGGTAATATGATCAAGCTGTGTGTTTATAACCTTTCTCTATTAAAGCCATTTGTAATTTTTTCTATTTATATAATTTTTATATAATTTATTTTATATAAATTTTTATATAATTTATTTTTGTTGTTATTGTCGAGCATATACATAGCAGAACATACACCAATTCAGCAATTTCTACATGTAGTTCAGTGACACTGATTACATTCTTCGAATTGTGCAACCATTCTCACCCTCCTTTTCTGAGTTGCTCCTCCCCCATTGACATAAACTCGCCACCCTTTAAGTTTCCTATTTAATCTTTTGAGTTGCTGTAGTCAATTTTATCCCATATAGACAGATGTTAAAAGAACTCAACGCTCAAAGCAGACAGTCTTTACTAGTTAAGCTAAAGTACTGTTTGTTTTAAGAAGACCAAACAAGATACTTGTTGACATATCTCCATGATAATAGCTTAACTATACTATTGTTCCATTTTAAAAAGATATCAGGGGGTATTTTTTGTTTAAGATTTAAAGATTATCTCAGGGCAATAGTTTTAGTGGTTCATCCAGCTTCCATAACTCCAGAAAGTCTGGATTCCATGAGTATTTGGAACTATTTTCTGCATTTTTCCCCTTTTGATCAGGATTCCTCCAGAGAATCTTGCAAGCAGACATCCAAGGTACAACAACTGGTCTCTATTCACCTGGGGCAACAGAGGAAGAAGGAGAGTCTGGAATAGGAGAAAATGGAATGTGTGTCTAATTGCCTCCATGAACAACTGTCACCTTTGCCATGAAACCCAGAAGAACTGGATCATGCCTGGCTTCCGTTTTTAAATTTTAAAATAAGTATAACATTAACTGGCCTCTGTTTTCTATTTTTTACCTTCCAAGAACTGTTAGGGGATACAAATAACCAGTCTCTCTACATAAAGAATCATGTGAGAGAAGGTTTGTGAACTTTGGATCCAGAAAGACTTAGAGTCAAATCTTATCTCCTAACAAAATGTGCTTGGCTTTGGGGAATTCAACCTCTCAGAGCTTCAGTTTCCTCATTTTAACAGGGTAAAGATATAAGGGGTACATGGATTACATGGATGATTAAATAAGAATCATTTCAGGACTATGTTTTTTATTACAAATAATATATTAAAGTAGTTAATGCATAATATGTGTTTTGTGATTATTAATTATTCATTGATATTTCCGACTAATTAAAAGCTGACTTTATGTTTCTGTATTGAAATAAATGTAATAGTTGTTAAGTACGAAGGGAAGCCTGTCATTGTTTTACCATATTCAATAACTGCCATTGTCCTAATATTTATAAACAATATATTTAAGGATTAAATTCACAATATTTCTAAAGAAACAGAATGTACCCTGAAATTCTCAAGAAATTTTATATAATACTGTAAGATGTTATTGTCCCAAATATTGTGCAAAATGTGAATTTTCTTGAAATTTTTTTAAAGATTAAGAATATTTTAAAGAAATATTACTGAGGAGGAAAAAAAAATAGAAATGAGTAATTAATAGCCAAACCTACTGAAGAGAAATGACTTCTGGTAACCACCCTGTGAGTGCGTGAATGACTGTGAACTCCCCCAGTTCTCTTCTGTATGCTACATGGATGCTAAAAAAGAAAATGCACAATGTGAGAGTTACCAAAATTGGAAAACACAGACAGACATATAAGGGAGAGAGAATCACTACACACTAAAATTATAATAATAAATGTAGGGGCCATACTGATTATACATTATATAGGTTGTAGCTACAAAAATCTACTACTCTAACACTCTGCTGATTTTTGTTAAAACAATTAGATTCAACAATAAAAATTTCATGTATACTTACAAAGCAGGTTTATAAACTTTCTTTTTTAAAGATCTAAAATTAATATTGATGCCATATATAAAAATATATTGTTACCTATTATATATTATACAATATACAGATGTAAGTAATGTATAATATACATATATATGCAATATATGAAGAGGACTTGAAGCACTTGATGAAGATCAGAGACTACAGCTTTCAGTATGGATTACACCTCAACATAAAGAAAACAAAAATTGTCACAACTGGACCAATAAGCAACATCGTGATAAACAGAGAAAATACTGAAGTTATCAAGGATTTCATTTTACTTGGTCCACAATCAACGCCCATGGAAGCAGCAGTCAAGAAATTAAACTACTTATTGCATTGGGCAAATCTGCTGCAAAAGATCACTTTAAAGTGTTAAAAGGCAAAGATGTCACCTTGAGGACTAAGGTGTGCTTGACCCAAGCCATGGTATTTTCAATCACCTCATATGCATGTGAAAGCTGAACAATGAATAAGGGAGACCAAAGAAGAACTGATGCCTCTGAAATATGGTGTTGGCAAAGAATATTGAATATACCATGGACTTCCAAAAGAACAAATAAATCTGTTGTGGAAGAAGTATTATCAGGAGGGACCAGTCCCTGGAAAAGGATATCACACTTGGTAAAGGGTCAGTGAAAAAGAGGAAGACCCTCAATAAGATGGACTGACACAATGTCTGCAACAACGGGCTCAAACACAGCAACAATTGTGAGGTTGGCACAGGACCAGGCAGTGTTTTATTCTGCTCTACATAGGTTGACTATGAGTCTAAACCGACTCGACGGCACCTAACAACAACAAATATGGGATTGCGTTTCTGTTGTTCTTTTTAAAACAGAATAGGGCCTTTAATCATTCTGACTTTAGTAATTATTATATGATGCTTGGAAGCTGTGTATTATGGCAGTCTCAAATATGGCAGGTCAAGATGGGCATCAAAAACCCTTAATTAGGGCCTTAGTTGAATGCAGAGATACCAGAAACGTCTGTTCTGTCTTATACAAAAGAATGTATTCTGCCTATGCAGCATAAAGTCAAATGAGGTTGTGACTAACCAAATATTAATAATCTCATTTTAACTCTTTTACTTTTCCCCCTCAGATGATTTAACTATTTGCATTGATCCACATTACTGCCATATCTCCATCTCCCAGGAGTCACAACTTCTGTCCACCATGTCAGTGGTGATGACTGATGGTACTGAAAAACACACGTCCTTTTCTTTAGAAAAAAAATCTTACAATCTCAATCAGATATTTCATTATTATGTTTGCACTGTGCTGTTTATGGATTATGAGTTTTTATGTGTTGACATATCTCTGTGATAATAAATACCTATTGAAATAGTTCACAGTCTAGTTTAAACTCCTTTTTGGATAATTATTTATGAAGTGATCTTGCAAACATCACAGAAATAATGCCCTTTTCTTTGTATATTTCACAGTGATGTCGAAGTAACTACTCTGTATTAATTATTTTAAAATATAGATAATAAAATATATGGTAATAACTACTGGAGCCCTGGTAATGCAGTGGTTACGAGCTTGGCTGTTAATCCTAAAGTCGAGAGGAATTTTATAGACAAATATAAAGGATAAAACACAGTACAGATTTCCTCTAGAATTCTTAAGAAATTTGTTACACTAAGCCTGGTTCTTTATTTCTGAGCTGGATTTATTTAGTTATTTTTTAATGGCTCCATTACTCATGTTGCTATAAAACTTTACTGAACTACAACTTTACGAAAGACAAAATGTCACTCCAATAATCCAGGTCATTCATGTAATTCTTCACTAGGCTTGCACCTCTATTGCTCAAAACTTCGAGTTAGACCTAAGAATTGGATTTTTCTTTCCAAATAAACAAACATAGTTGCCACCAGAACAAGATATCACTCCCACAATGTATTCAGCTACTTAAACGAATCTGGGCTCAGTTTTTATAATAATCATTGAAATTAAGGGCTACAAGCTTGGAGAAACAAGTTTCCAATAGGGAACTGAGGGTTGGTAACAGAAAAGAGAGATGAAGGGATGGCAGTAGGAGTGGTAGTTTTTGTTGTGCAGCCTTGGGGGAGAAAAATGAAGCTAAGATAAAAGAAAATCTACAAAAAGCAAATGTAGCTTCTGACTGGCATTGCTATGTTTATGGAAGGGAAAGGGGCTAAGCTTTGAGAAAATGGCTGAAATGGTCTGTTAAAGCATGTGGGTGTGTTCTGTTGAATGCGAAATGCTATTATACACTGCGGGAGGCCGAAGGGTATCAAATTCAAGCCCCTGCAGTGTATATGGGAATTCTCCCATTGAGCAGTGGTACATGCATTTCCAACTCAAACATCTAAGTTTTTCTGTATTGCTAAGCCCAGGATGGAATGACAGTAGGTCTCCTAAAGTGGAAGCTAAGAGAAGAGAACGTAGCAAATACGTGTCATACATGTTAGTGCACAAGTCATAAAGGAATATAAGACTCAAGCAGATTTTACAATAATATTGAAGGAAAAATGAGCAGTTTTTATCAGAATGGATTCAAAGTGACCAATGTTAATGAAAGCAGGAGGAGCACATTGATGTACTTGAAGAATTTAGATTTTTCCAGGTCAGTAAATTGTTGCTGCAGATACGGAATCTAAAACTTCACGTGGATTCCAGTATAAATAATATTCAGTATTTACATGAACCAGTATTTCCCCTACAAAACAATTTCTTTCTGCAACTAAGCTGAAACACTACTTTCTACCCTCCATGATTAACTTTCTATTCATAATTAAAAATGCATTGGATATAGAATAATTTTGATTACTTCTTATGGGCAAATTTTGTTTTTTGCTGGCTAAAACAATACTTCAAATTCCTTGTTTTCCATCAAAGAAAACTGAGACCCAGTACAAGGCTAAACAGTGGTTTTGGCTTATTCATTTTTATACTAAAAAGTTTACATTGTTTGAAAAGACAGCATTACTTACTGATTTTTAATTTTTAATAAAGTTATGCAATATGGAAGTACAGCCAGAATGCTCAGTAGAAGCAAGGATGGCGAGACATAATTTCACATACTTTGGACATGTTATCAGGAGGGACCAGTCTCTGGAGGACATCATGCTTGGCAGAGTAGAGAGTCAGTGGAAAAGAGAAAGACCCTCAATGAGATGGACTGACACAGTGGCTGCAACAATGGGCTCAAGCATAACAACAATTGTGAGGATGGTGCAGGACTGGGCAGTGTTTTGATCTGTTGTGCATAAGGTCGCTATGGGTCAGAACCAACTCGACAGCACCTGACAACAACAACATGCAATATGGATGTATGATTTTTTGTGTCTTTTTGTTTTTACGGGAATGACTGATAATGCCTCATTCTACGTACTCGACGTTTGCCAGCTTAATGATAGCTTTAGACAATAGCATTGGCCAGAGTTCAATGTCATAGGTTGTAGCTGGAAGCAATAGATTGTTATCTTCATCAAATGGCAGAAAGTCATCAATAGTTATTTTTCTCCAGCAACCCTAAAAATGAGAAGAAAATTAAACTCATTTAATGCACTAAAAATCAGTCTCTATGGAATTAAAAAAAAAAAAAAAAAAATTCAGAGTCGAGTCGATTCCGACTCATAGCAACCCTATACTACAGAGTAGAACTACCCCATAGAGTTTCTAAGGAGCACCTGGAGGATTCGAACTGCCGATCTTTTTGTTAGCAGCCATAGCTCTTAACCACTATGCCACCAGGGTTTGGAATTAATGAATAAAAAAGATGCATGTGTATGGTATGTGTTAGAGGGAAAGCATGAGCAAGCATGAGATCTAAGGGGAGAACAATTCTGCATCAGGGATAAGAGCATCTCCATGGAAGAACAATTAATTTCCAAGCAAAATCTGTCAATATTGTTCATAAACTGGGGAATAATAGATGTTATTTGATCTACAACTTGCCTCCATGTCGAAAATGACAAAATATTTTGCACTAAATTTTACAGTGGAATAGTGTCCATATTTACAAGGTCTTTTGAACATATTCTTGGGTACCATATTGTACATAAAAACATTAGATAACAATGAATAAGTTTAGGAATAACTAAATAACTTAATAGGGTAATAACGCAAATTCTTCAATTATAACATTAGTAATCATTACTTATCCTGATGGGCTTACTTTTCTTTTACTTCCAATTACCATATTACTTCTTATTGTTGTTGTGTGCCAACGAGCCAATTCCAACTCATAGTGACCCTATAGGACAGAGTAGAACTGCCCCATAGGGCTTCCAAGGTTGTAATCTTTACAGAAGCAGATTGCCACATCTTTCTCCCGCGAAGGCACTGGTGGGTTCGAACCGCTGATCTTTCAGTTCGCATCTGAGCACTTTATCACTGTGCCACCTGGTCTCCTTATATTACTCCTACTCCTAATTATTTAAATTTTTTAACATTTTTAACATACTATACCTTATTTAATAAAATCATCACACATTTACCTGTATGCATATTACACTTCATAATTAAGAGTCATAGCCAAACAGTAAATAACATTAATGATTGTGATCTCAAATAAAAATATCTTTTCCTTTGGTTTTACTTGAGAAGTTTTACTATGAATTCATTATCCAAGAAATATTTTAAGCAGCAGTAGCAAGCATTGTGAATCCAAGGCATAACACATGGCCTATACTATTGAATTGCTTACAGTCTAGTGAGAAAAGACATATATGCAAACAACATAAAATCCAATATGCTCAAAGAGCTCTAGGGTCAGTAAGAAAAGTCTGACTAATTTTGCTTGGGTGAAGACTTTACAGGAAGGAGACATTTGAATTGAAGCTTCAAAAACCAGCATACATTTATCAGGTAAACAGGAGCAATCGGGCGTATGACACTTGTAATCCTGAATTCATATTGCCTTATCAGTGCTTATATGTATTTTTCTTTTTTCCCTAATAGTTGATGGGGGGGGGGGGCAAGAAAGGGTTAAAGGTATAGGTGTCTAGGCACTCCCTCTTCCAATTTCAAATGAAAATACCAGGTATACACGTTCAGTGTTAACATTTCTAAAACATAATTTGGCTACATTTATATTATGACAATTTTCTTGGGGATTTTTGTGATTCCTTGATATTAACTCATTGGTTGCTTCTTTAAAATCTGTAAAGAAATCAAATATTTATTGTATATCTATGATTTATTTGAGACATCACCATAGAATACTGTATTATTTTTGCATTCAGTATTCTTTGGTTAATGTATGTAAATAATACAATTTTTATACTTTTCATTGAGTACTGTGTTAGCACCACATAATTCTAAAAGGCTATTGTAATAGATAATTATTTCACATGCTTATGAAGAGGGATGCCTCCTTTGTTAATACAAACATAAATTACTAGAATAATTTAGAATGCAGTCATGTTTAAATTTTAATTAATGTTTTCCACACTTAAGTTCAAGGTCAAGATAACTAAATGGTGCATCTATTAAACCTGCTTCCTCCTGTGAGCCTGCTGAAAGATAATAAAAATTTCTTTCTTAATGAATAGCATAAATCACAGTTAAAAAAGATCAGGAAAAGAGCAATCCATGGAAAGAGATGTCAGCAAATATCTGAATGATCAAGACAACACAGGCGGGAGTCCTGGCAAAATGGCGCTCTAGGCAGAAGTACCACGCCGTCCCTCCACAGCAAAGATCCGAAAAACTAAGCCAAACAGAGAATACAACAATCCTGAAACCCTAAAACATCAAATGAAGAGATAAAGAACTCAGCCAAGCACCAAATGGAGTGAGAAAACTGACGGAGAATGGGGAGCGAGGAGAGATTCATCCAGAGGTCCCCTACCAGCTAACGCAGCACGGATCCACCATCTTGGACCCCTATCGGAGACCAGCAAACAGGGGTATGAGAAAGCAGCCTCACAGAACATCCAGCGGGAGACAAAACAACCAGTAATTTGCAGTGTGCGCTTTCCCAACCCCCCACCCCTCTTCACCCAGCTCAGCCTCCTCTGCTTCCTGCGGCTACAGTCTCTTGACCAGGAAGCGCCAGCTGCTTGGATTCCACACACCCACGCAGGCGGCTCTCTGGGTGCCATTTGTTGGCTGCTAGTGTTCCTTTTTTTTTCAGCTTCTTTTGATTTCTCACTTGCCTCGCACCACCTCCCCTCCTTTCACTCGAGTGCCTGGCTCCATGTGCCACCTTTGCTTCTTCCTGAGGGGCTGCAGAGTGCCGGCAATTTGTGATGTACGCTTTCCCACTCTCCACCCTTCTTCACCCCAACTCGGCCTCCTCTGCTTCCCGCAGACACAGTCTCTTGTCCAGAAATACCAGCCCGCACTAGCTGGCTCTCTGAGTGCCATTTGTTGGCTGCTGGTGTTGTTGTTTTTTCT